TCCGACTCTAGGGTTGTGGTGCTCATCTCCGTTTCAAAGCCGAAGAGCCAGCGCTGTCCGAAGACATGTGGCCGGCATGACTAAACACCAAGGCGCACGGAACGCTGTTACCTTCCCACTGAAGTGGTACCTATTTATCTACTTGCAGTTTCTTGCTTTCGAACTGCTAGGTTGGCAGGAGCTGGAACTAGAGACGGGAGCTCACTCCATCATGCGGCACACTCAGGTCTCGAACTGCTGAACTACCAACCTTCCACAGCCTGCAGTTCAGCATCTTAACCACTTGAGCCACCGCAGCTCCTTAAACAAAAACCCCCCACTATAATACCAGCTCAAATAGAGCCTTCCATATTTGCAAGGCCTTTGGAAAGGGAGCGATGTTGATCAGTCATGCTTCCTACATTACTCACTGGAGAACAGAAAGTACCAACTCTTGTACCAGTCAAGTTACAGTGTGTACATTTAAAACAATTTGAACACTAAAAAGCAAGACATATAAAACTGAGATCCTGCCTTCAATAGAAAATAAATAAATAAATACTATCTGTTGCTGTAAAGTAGTAAATGAAAAGTGGGTCAGTATAGGACAGTACATCCAAGGTTCACAAATTACTAAATTCCATGGCTTTATCAGAATAATCCTAAAAACAATTTCTTGCAGGTAAGCCTCAAGGTCTTGAAAAGGATTCTGAGTAGATCTGCTTAGGATTGTTCTCTGTGGAAAAAGTAGCTCTGAAGTCCCATTAGGGTTGGCAGCCTCCAGGTGGGGCCTGGGGATCTCCCGCTTTTACCACTGATCCCCAGCCGACAGAGATCAGCTCCCCTGGAGAAAATGGCTGCTATGAAGGGTGGACTCCATGGCATTGTACTATGCTGAGGCCCCTCCCCTCCCCAAACCACACCCTCTCCCGGCTCCACCCCCAAAGTCTCCAGGTATTTTCCAACCCAGACTTGGCAACCCTAAGTCCCATTTTGTTCAATATGACTTACTTGCAGGAAAGCGTTCTTCGGACTGCAACTGAAGTATGTTATTTCTTAATCCTTTTCCCCTCCAAAATATTAACTGCAGGGTTGTAGTTCAGTTAAGTATGTTTTCTTATTTTCACTTGCTTCTTGTATGATTGCAAAACCATAGGGTCTTAGAGGAATCTTTTTGCTGCCCTTGTATCTAATATTTTTATAGTTACATTTTCATCTATGTATTTAAAGAGGTAAAGCTGGCTCATTCAGTGTCCATAATGACAGCTAGTTGCTGGATAATATCTTTGGGGGCAAATGTTGATATTCAACAGGAATGGGATATAGTTTTGTTTATAGGGGAGAGGGTAACTTTATCACCACCAAGCATTTCAACAGCCATTCCAAATAGATCATGAAAAAAAGTCCTTTTCCAAGCAGATTCTTATGCAAGCTGAGTAGACAGGAAATTCTTCAACAGCAGTGTGTTAAAACTTAAGAAACTATCTGTGTGTACCTGGCAGCAGCCTGAGGCAGACATGGCTGTATTTGAGGAATTTGGAATGGCGAATATTTCTTTCGTAGTTGCTGGGAGATGGTGGACGATCTATTTTTGTATGGCAATGCACAGGAGAAGCACTCCTACCCCCACCCCAGAAAGCAAAAGGAAGAAGAATGCAGTGCTGGGAGAATGAAAGTGGATCCTCTGCTTCAGAAGACTTCTTCACAACTTGCCCCTATGGGCAGCATCAATACCAAATTGTGACGTATCAGAATAAATACATTTTAAAGAAAAAAAATCATGGGCTATGTTAATTTAGCTTTTATTCTGGAATAAAGATATATAGAAAAAGAGCTATTTTTGATTCCTCTTTAATAGTTATGGTATGCCATTCTGGTGAAGTGATGGCATTCTGGATGTACTGGAAAGGTATAATTTGCCTATCAAATGTTTTCGTTTAATAAGAATTCTAATCAGATTTGAAGTATTGGGGCTGGCTTTTTTGGCAAATACCAAGGTAGGTTGGACCCTTACATTAGAATAATCAATTTATGTTGTTATCCTTATAAATGCAGTAATTATGTGTGTAGAATTTATTTCTATTATATTTTTTGTTATCATTGTCATAAATGACTTCAGTCTGACCTACTTGGTGATCATTTGCCACATGTTCCATTAGCTCCACTAATGAAATCCCAAATTCAAAAATGTATTTTTAAAGTGATACATAAAATACTACAGGTAATACATAAAAGGAAGAAGCTACTGCTGCAGTCCCTTGTACACTTAAGCCCCACAGAACACAGCCTTACTTCTGAACAAACATGCCTAGATTGCATTGTAACCATGCAATAAGAAACAGATATTCCTTTCTAAACCCATTGACATGCAGGGATTTAGAAGCCTGTGATTCTGTTTAGGATTGTACTGGAAGTCACTATTAGATCACAGCTATGGTTCCAAGGGAGTTGGTTTGATAACACAATGTGTTCATCTCCCTCTAAGAACCAAGGACTCTAATATAAATTAATAATTCCAGATGGGTAGCCATTCTAGTCTGTAGCAGGGGAAAAACAAGTCCAGTGGATCCCTGTTTTATTTGCCTGAACACGGAACAAAAGTGTATTTTTCTGTAACTTCATGTAAATCAGTGAAAAGTAAACGTTCACAAAAACATTTCACAAAAACACCTGATAGCCTATCCCTTTTCCTGCTTCCTCTCCTTAGAGTTGCGAACTCTAGGTTAAGAAATTCCTGGAGATTTGAGGGTGGAGCCTTGGAAGGGTGAGGTTTGGGGAGAGAAGCGACCTCAGCAGGTATAATGCATAGAGACCACCTTCTAAAGCAGCCAGTATTTCCAGGGGAACTGATCTGTCATCTAGACAATATACCCTTATGAGATCCCACTCTGCCCACACTCCACTCCCCCAAATCTCCTGGTATTTCCCAACCTGGAGTTGGTAACCCTATTGCGTTCTCACCCAATAGCCAACCTATCTTTATCTGTCTTAAACTTTCCCTCCCCCCCCCCACCCCAGCAGCTTCTGCCTAGGAAAACTGAGGGAATCCATTGTTTAAAGCTACAGGTGCTCCATTTATCATCTGGGTTGTTTTAAATCCCCTCATACTTTTTTTTCAGATTTCACATTTTCTCTGCAAACCTGAGCCATTTTTCAGGTTTGTAGAAAGATCTGTCTTGCCTGTTCACAGCTGCAATCACTGGATTTAAGTATCCTCATATGTGGCCAGCTATTAGAATATACAAGTGGGGACCTACAATATTGTGGGGAGGATCCTTCCCTCCATCATCACTGATGCTGGCGCCCTCATTGCCAGCTGGCGGGGTGTGTGTGTGTGAGAAGACTGGCACGCCTTCCCACCTGGCTCTTTAGTTGTTAGTTCAGTGGAGGTGGGGGGGGCCTCCTACACCCGACTCTTTTATTGCTGGCTCTGATGGGGGGGCAGCAAGGACTGCACATTCCTGCCTGGCTCCGGGTTGCCAGTTCAGCTGGTACAGTGGCTTGCTGGCTCAAGCTGGGATGGGGAGTGAGGACTCCATCCCCCGCCTAACTCCCTCCTTGCCAGATCAGTTGGGGTAGGCTGCAAGGACTACTGTGCCTCCCCACTTGCTGGCTCGATGGGGGGGGCAGTGAGGACCACCTGACTCCCTTCTTGCCAACTCAGTTGGGAGCGGGGACCAGCAAAGCCAAGGCCCCCCCCTGACGCTGGTCAGCCCCTTGCAGCTGCATGCCTCTGCTGAATCTTCCTGCAGCCCTGACACAGGAGAAGGAAGAAATAGACATGCACAAGGACAGACAACAGTTCTTTTATGTGGGGGGGGGATTTAACCCCCCCCCCCAATTTATTTTTAAACAGTTTTCAGATTTTTCTGCAAACCTGGAGAGGCCCCCGAATTTGCAGAACTACCTGTTTTGGGTAAATGTGGCCCCAATCCACAGATTTAGATATCCACAGATGGGGGCCATACTTGAGAAACAGATATAGAGATACAAGTTTGAGTCCAATGGGACCTTTAACCCCAACAAAGTTTTATTCAAGGTATAAGCATTTGTAAGGGAAGGTGCATGCACACGAAAGCTTATATCTTAAATAAAACGTTGTGGTCTTAAAGGTGCCACTGGACTCAAACCTTGTTCTTCTGCTTCAGACCAACACGGTTACTATCCACGTTTTTTTGGCGATGGTACTCACCTGTATTGAGTACCAGCAAGGGGGGGGGGGAGCTTTCTCAAGTCCTTATGGGGAAATGGAAGGAAATCGGTGTAACCGTACATATGGGTACCACCACGTTTTACCCGCTGGTTATTATTATTTACTTTATTTATATAATCCAACTTTCTCACTCAGTCTCAAGGCAAAGTTATTTTCTAGTAAACATGCATACAGTCAAGGCTATAATCAATGTCTTCTTACTTGGCGATAACTCCCACTTGTTTTGTTATGACAACAGACAACAGTTCATATTAGGAACCCCTCAGTGCACTGCAATATTTAAAGGTAGAATATCATCAAGCCACGTGGCAGTGGTAAACAAGAGCAGAAGCCGGCTCCGTAGTAACGAGTTCACATGGATTAGACTTGTTAACTTGGCAGCAAAAATAACCATCAGGAGTTTTGCTACTTTCCCCCGTTAAATTTGGAAGGTTGACAAAGTGGGTGCTGGAGTCTGCAAGAGCTGGAGGACGCCATGCGTTCGATTCCTGTTTCTTTCTTCGCCTCACACGCTCGCCCGTCGTTTCCACCTCGGTTGTTCGAACTTGCGCTTCCAGTGAGAGGCCCTGCGCCACTTTCGCGCCACCCACACAGCTCCAGCGACCCAGCCGTCCGCAGCCCTCCCGACAACACCCCACCAACCCCGCCCCTCGGCGCCTCTACGGCGCTCGGGACACTGAGCTCCTCCCTAACCGGTCCGGCCCGCCTGGCTTTCACCGCCCTCCTCTTGCTGGGTCGGCTCTTCTCCTACTACCTCAGAGAGACGGCAGCGGCGTCTTCCTGCCTTGCCTCAGCAGCGCGTCGCGTTGGGGCCAACCGCACGCTGCGGCTACCGCCGGTATTTCCGATCCCGGTTGGGCCCCGGCCGCAGCCTGCTGCTGCCGGGGCCGCGGGAGGATGCGGCGCCTGGTGCGAGTGGCGCTGCTCTGCCTGGGTTGCGGCTTGTGCTCATTGCTCTACGCCTTCAGTCAACTGGCTCTGTCGCTGGAGCAGGAGACGCCGCGACGGCGGGGAGACCCCACTTTTCCAGTCCGGAGGCAGCTGAGTGGAGACGGCGGCTGGAGGGCAGCAGCGGGAAGCGCAGGCCGCAGAGACCGGCGACTGCCGTTGCCGCCGGAAAGGTATGTATGTGGGCCTCCTTGCGATCGCCTCGTAGAGGCCGACGAGCTTCCATTGTGTGCGGCAGGAGAGTCATTAACTTCGTTGCGAGAGCGAAGGAGAAATCTGGCTTTTCGGAGTCTGCCTATGGTAAGGCAGTACCTTTATACCCACCCACCAGACGTCTTCGCAGTGGGTAAAACACTTGATGTATTTTTACACTTTGCTTGTAAAAAAAATATTTGGAAGAGTGTGGACAAAATATGTTTTCCTGCTTCCCTCCACTTTCATCTTATGCATATCACCAGTTAGGAGCTAACTTGTGCTGGGCGGTCAGAAGTGCCTTGAAACTTAACAAGGCTTTTAATAGAGCAGGAACAGTTCTTCTACAGGCATGCTGAAGTTTACCCGGCACTCTCAGATGAGGCTGGAAGAGAGTGGCTTGTGGTTTGCCATAGCCACTCTTCAAACCATCTTCCTTCTTTATGGTTTGTCCTGGTGTCTTCCCTTATTGAGAAATTCGGACCATGGGCCCTGTGAAGCAGCATCACTTCTGCCTTGTCTGTGTTCGTGGACCGATGCTGGCCAAAAGCAAAGCTAGCAGGTTCTGGTAACTTACATGAACAGATGTTTAGTTAGATGGTGTTAGTATTTTGATTATACCCCAATCCAGTGCTTTGTGCTGTTTTATTCAGTGGTCTTCCATAAATAAATAAATACTGAAAAGCATGTGTGGTAACACAGAGCTTTGCAGACTGCTGGAGGTTAAATTCCATGTTACTGCTCAGAATTCCGTTTTCAATGTGCTCTGCAAGAAAAGATTAAAGCATTCAAGTGCTTTCCGCTTAATGCCCAGTGCTATTCTCCAGTGCTGAAATAGATCTTGATTATTTACTGTGTCAGAGGAAGTCAAGATTCTACAGAATTAGTAGTGAGACACTTTCCCTGTTAATCTGAAAACTGAGATTGTCTGCAGTATCTGTTTCATAGGTAGGCCTGAGCCAAGGGAAGATGTGTCATCCAAGAAATCCTGGAGCTGCCACTACTCTTGATTATTCTTCCTTTAAAAAGTCTGTAATGGCCACAATCTTTTTATCAAGAAAATCTTTTTTCCCCGAGGGCAGATAACAGCCCGCTTCATCAGCTTTTGAAAATCTTCCTCTGTTGTATTAATGGATTTCTTTCCATAATCTCATGAGATTTTATCAACCAGGATAGTCATGGGGCTAAGCCAAACACTGTGTTCCTAGGATCCTGTCAGCATTGCTCAAGGAAATCAGACTGAAACGAGCCATTTTTTTTAGAAGTATGGTGCTTTCAATGTCTCTGCTGTCTGATCTGATCTAAAGCTGATGTCTAAATTGAAGTGGATCTGAGACAGTTTATTAACAAAAGAACTGTGCAAAATATCACAGCTAATGGCAAGTCATCAACTACCAAATTATATCAAACAGTTGAACTGGATATGCGACAACTGACATAATGGTTGGTGATAGAGAAGTATTGCTGCTTTGCGTTATAAGTTACCCATACCTTTTGCAGGAGCCTATAAGAACATAAGACAAGCCAATGTTGGATCAGGTCAATGGCCCATGTAGTCCAACACTCTGTCACACAGTGGCCAAAAATACCAGGTGCCATCAGGAGGTCCACCAGTGGGGCCAGGACATTAGAAGCCCTCCCACTGTTGACCCCCACAAACACCAAGAAGACAAAGCATCACTTGCCCCAGAGTCCCTATCTAAACCTTATGGCTAATAGCCACTGATGGATCTCTGCTCCATATACTTATCTAATTCCCTTTTGAAGCCGTCCATGCTTGTAGCCGCCACCACTTCCCGTGGCAGTGAAGTCCATGTGTTAATCACTCTTTGGGTGAAGAAGTACTTCCTTTTATCCGTTCTAACCTGACTGCTCAGTTTTTTCATTGAGTGCTCACAAGTTCTTGTATTGTGAGAAAGGGAGAAAAGTACCTCTTTCTCTACCTGCTCTATCCCATGCATAATCTTATAAACCTCAGTCATGTCACCCCTCAGTCGTCATTTCTCCAAGCTAAAGAGCCCTAAGCGCTTTAACCTTTCCTCATAGGGAAAGTGTTCCAACCCCTTTATCATTCGAGTTGCCCTTTTCTGCACTTTTTCCAAAGCTATAATATCCTTTTTAAGGTGTGGTGACCAGAACTGCACACAGTATTCCAAATGAGGTCGCACCATTGATTTATATAGGGGCATTATGATATTGGCTGATCTGTTTTCAATACCCTTCCTAATAATCCCCAGCATAGCATTGGCCTTTTTTATTGCAGTCACACACTGTCTCGACATTTTCAGTGAGTTATCTACTACAACTCCAAGATCTATCTCTTGATCAGTCTCTGCCAGTTCAGACCCCATCAATGTGTATTTATATTTAGGATTTTTGGCCCCAATGTACATCACTTTGCACTTGTGCCACATTGACGCCCACTCACCCATCCTTGACAGATTCCTTTGGAGTGCCTCACAATCCTCTTTGGTTTTCACCGCCCCGAACAATTTTGTGTCATCTGCAAATTTAGCCACTTCACTGCTTACTCCCAACTCCACTGGTTGTATCTCTGACTCTCTTAATCAGACCATCAAATACTTGCTTGGTACAGACTATGAAATATAGCATGTGACCTTGTTCATATGTTGGGCCCTTTGCAATCAGGAAAGACCTGTGGTGAAGTGGGTTACCTCTGCATGGGTTAACATTCCATAGTCTTAGGATATCTGACAGAGATCAGCTAAGACAGGACACCTAATTGGAAACTAAGTAGATGGTATACCAGTAGGGTACCCAGCCTGTCCCTGGAATCTAATACAAGGAGCCAAACTATCAAGATCAGCAACCATTTGCCCTGGGAATCATGAAGTAGAGAAACTGACAGAGAGTTATGTCTACTCCAGTCTTGTTTTCCGGTTCATGTTCGTTGAAGAACTGAAGGTGCAGGTGGAGCAGTGGTATGGGTTTTCTAAAAAAAAGATAGGACTGGACAGTTATCCAATGCCCTAAGAGGAGTGTGATCTGTTGTAGTGTACTTATTTTTACTTGTATTTGAAAAACAAAGTTTAAAAGTAACCTGTATTAGTGTGTCCCGGTAGCATACAGTACTCTTAACTGAAATATTTGATTGGGGTGGAGAAGTCAAGTGGCTTAAAAATTAAACTGAAACCTCTGTATGGAGATGATTTTTGCTGGAGTAATAGTTGTAGAAGTAACAGAGTTAACATTATCAGTGTCATCTAGCCAGGGCTCAGTTACACATGCCAGATTTATTGAATCTGCTGCCTAATACTGCATGGTGGGCGAAAGCCTGGACCTAATGTCAGCATGTCAGCCAACACTCCAGAAACTTTGTGGTAATGTTGGATCCCTGACTGTAAGGAAACTCTGTGCTAATACCAGAGTGTTGGCGGATGTCACATTTTCACCTGGATGTGACATCAGTCAGTGTGTCATGTAATATCACATCTGTCCCTTCCGTAGTGCCTGGGGCAGCAGTCTAGCATCCCGAAAAGGAGGGGAGAGTTTTGAAGCTATCAGTGAGTCTCATGGCACCTTCAGAGGTGTTGGATGAATACAAAGTTCTTTTGGCCCCATATCCTACCTTTAGGCTAATAGGATGCCTTGAGTAATTTCCTTTTCCTCTGGAAACAGCCCTTAACCAATCATACTTGGGGAAAAGTGTTAATCAGTGTAACCTTTTCAGGTAGCGCTGCAGTTTCTGCAAGCTTCTGGAAATAGTGTACTCTGTCATCATGGACATTGTCCTTATCAGTTAACTGGAACAAGTCTGCTATTCTAGACCTAGACAGCATCTCAGTATAACAGGCAATTATTTGTAATCTGGAGGAAGCAGTCCTATTATTTTTTAAATAAATGTTTTTCTTTCATAAAGGGTGGCTCTTTTCCAACTTAAACTATCTGAAACTTGGTTTCAGACCTCTGCCTCAGACTGATGCTAGGGTAACAGCAGTTGTCCGACCCACATAATTTTGTTTGCGTGTAAGATAATGTTTTGTACTATAGTTCATACTATGTAACAAAAGGGAAGATGTTGTATCCCAACTGTGAGTCGTTGGCACTAATGACTGGGTGGTATGAATAACTTATGCTCCACAGACTGCCTCAGTGTGGGGAGATTGGGCTGGTAGTATATTTGCAGCTTTTTCATCTTGTCCTTTACGGTGTACTGAGGCATTTCTTATGAAAGGATCCTTTATGTGGGATGTAATTGGGTTTAATCTTCCTCTTACCACCCGATTCCATGATCTTCTGCATGTCTCGTCCTTTAGGAACCAGCTGGCCATTCAGTGATGCCTCTTGTATGGCATGAATTGGTTTCAAGTTCATGTGAGAATTCTCTCAGCTGTGAAAAGGACTGTCCTTCTCTGTTAAGTTTGTAGAAAGCAAATTCTCATTCTCCCCATAATCCCTTGGGAAATCCATTTTGGTGTGGAACAATAAAAGATGAAAATTATAATCAGGATTCCATCAGTAGTGCTAGATCACAGCTCTACCTTATACCTGTCCAAGATCGCATTTTGATAATATGAGTGAAAGTCAAAACAGAAGTTAATAAAGCAGTGCCTACAGAAACAATAATCCTTTCTCCCTTCATATATGCACGAGCACACACACAGAGTCATGTGTGACAGAAGTTCACAGAACAATGACTAGAATATTACTCACACAGAAC